TATCTTGTTTCAATTTGCACAATAATCACACTTTAGTTTTTTAAACATTGTTCCCATAATGCGTTCTAAATACTATAATAGGGCATTTATATCCCACAAACTTACTCATTGAAACTACAGCAAACTGACTCCAGTTCACCTAAAGTCAGTTGGTAGATAATATTTGCCTGAATTTGTTACTTTTCTATGTTCATTCTCTCCGGGACTCTGATCTATTGAACAGTCACAGCTAAAAGTTTCTGAGTGCAAATATTAAGCAACAACTCATCTGTTTGTAAGAACTTTAGTATTTAAGATGATACAACCTTTATTAATTTAGTGATCCATAAAAATCTACTTATGAATCACGGGTGTTATAACAAGGCTAAGATTAAAGTAAAGAAGACCTGCAGCTTGAGGTGTCTATTATATGTTGTCTCTGCCTACGTCCCTCAGAACTGACCGTAAAGAATGTCCCTGTTTCTGTTTCAGGTACAGTGGCTGCTTCCTCTTCGTCCTCCTCCTCCTCCTCACCGTCCTCCAGCTCGCTGACTGCGGCGGTCATGCTGACACTGGCTGACCCTCCGGTGTCGTCCTCCTCCTCTCAGAACTCTGGGGTATCAGTGGAGTGCAGGTGACAGGACGAACCAGTAACAAACCACCGCACCAAGCACTTAACCAGCACCCTGGGGTCACCGCCCCCATTCCCTTCCAACAGGACAGACAACTAAACCCACATACTGTAACTACTGGGGCACAAAATCCAGACCAGAGACAAAAAAAACAAGAAACAAGCACTATTTTCTATTGACAACTGTTTCCTTGGCAAGCTAACGGCACTTAAGTGCACTTTTATGAAGATTGTTTATGGGGATGAAATTTATCAACAACAAAAAAAATAATATTTGTCTTTTGCGCTCTCTTTAATTGAACATTTCTAAGAATTGTTTTTGCAAGCAATAATTTTTTTTCCATTTGAAAAAGTTGTATTGGTAAGGGATGACTTCCAGTGACGACCCCTTGTGCTCTGTCCTCATGGCTCAGCATGGCACTGCCTGTTTGCCGTGTTTTTATTATTCTGGGGAATTCAGAGGAACACTGCCACATTGGCATATTGGGCGTTTTGAAATGAAACTTTGCCAGTTTCTCTGTCCACTCCCATTGCAAGACCTTCAAACCTCAAGCGGTTGACGGAGGTCTTCTCATGTACAGGCGTGTGGTCCCGTAAGTGTTCCCACTGAGTCCCAGGTGGTGATAGAGAGAGTTTCAGACCATCACAGGTCCAATGACCGCCTCAGTCGATGAATATGATGAATAAGGAATGATACTGTAGTGCCTTTTTGTTATTTTCTGCGGGGCACTTTGAGAAAGGACAGCACTTTTTCCCCCCGATCCTCTTAACAAATCAGAGGGTCAAACTGGAATAATGTGTCTCTTATGAAAGACTGAAGATTTCTGCATGAGCGAGCCGGCAGTGAAGGGCTGAGTCTGATAACAATGGTTTTTATCAGTGATGGTCATATTGATGAATTGTAAAAGCAGAGCTCCTGCTATGGATCACCTGAAATTTGCAGCTTGGGTACAACAAGTTTGACAGTAAAAATGTGCAATGATGGAGTTGGTGAATGCAGTGGTCACATCACTTCACTTCATCTGCCTTTTAAAAGCCCATAGCTTTATTTTTATTATGTTTGCATCACCCCCGATCCCATCTTCTGAAGATGTGATTGTGCACATCGGTGGAAGGCAGGGGAGTTATTTACAGCATCAACTCAGCTCTGACACATGAATGAGGCCAAGTTCCACATTACCAGTGTTGTCACGCCACATGAAGTTATTTAATCAAGTCTCATTTTGCTTCATAAAATAAAGCAACAGCATCTCATTCTCATTTTACCCATGATCAGTAAGGACACGCCAGCTTCCTCTCATACTCGTCCCTACCAAAAACGTTAGGCTCTGTTTCCTGTGCTACGACCAGATCAAAAGGTAAAGATATTGTAAATGTGCATTTATATCATAAAGTGACATATGTGTATACATTTCTGAAGACATCTCCAGTGTTTCCTTTGTATAGACTCCCTACTGTACGATAACCTGAAGTTGCGTTTTGTTTGGCACTTGTATGTAATTGTATGCTTTTGTTATACATTTGTATATTGAGAAGTGTTTTGAGTCAAGCTATTTAATATCTTGCACTGTTAATAACATGTACTTTTCTGTACAGACAGTTTTACGGTTTTAACTGTAGTTTGAGTGTAAATACTGAGGGTTACAGCATGTTTGTTCTCCTCCTTTGTCCTCCTTTTCTCTAGGAACCAATTTATTTGAGTTTATGTTCTGTTCTGCCTCTTTCATAAGTCGTCTTAGTTTTTCCTTATTTCTTTTTTATTTCATGTTTTTGCTTCAGTTCATATTCCTGTTTTTGTTTTTCAAGAGCTTGTTGCTTGTAAGAGAAGACATGGTTTTCGAATGCGGCTGAACTATTTTCCAACCTGTACATGGCCTGAAGCTAAAGCTGTATGAAGCTGTATATGGAGAAAAAAAAAAGGTCAGGATCATAGATAAAGAGAAAGTAATGGAGCTTATTGAAAAATGCTCAATAGTATTTATTAGGCTCATCTGATGATGGTCATTGTGTAATTTATTGTAAAAATGTAAGCAAAGCAGAAGCCTCTGTTTGAAATAAATGCCATAGTTTGTGAAGTACCCGGTGTGTCTGCTGCCGTCACTGGGGTAAGTTTACATTTGCTTTTACTTAACTTTTTTCTTCTGAGTATATTTTATAGGTATTTCTATTTTACTTGAATATTCCATATTCTAAACTTATACTATACTTATCAATTTCAAAGTGTTGTTTAATGCTGGCGATTTGTTAAATTTGAACTTTTTACATGGGGAAATATTGTACTTTCGAATCCACTACATTTATTTGACAAATGTGTTTTTAGTAAAGTGATGGGAAACAGTAATTTTCTACATATAAAACATCTGAGAAGCTCAAGGTATGATGCATTTTATAAATATGAACGCCCAGTAAACTTCAGTTGACTCCACCTTGATTAAACATGACGTTGAAGGGATAGTTCACCCAAAAATGAAAATTCACTCATTATCTACTCACCACTATGCCAATGGGTGGGTGAAGGGTTTGAGTCCACATAACCCTTTTAGAGTTCCAGCCAAATCCAATACTAATGAAGTAAATGGTGACTGATTCTTCAAACGAAAAAAAACCCCAAAGGAAAACAAAACATAAAACGCCTCCATACTGCTCATGTGATGTCATGCAAGTGTCAGAAAGCCCAAACATTCAAATTCGACTCGAGTGTCATTTACACCAAGTTATTAGCCTAAATGTCTGTTGTGATCCACACACGGCTCCAGAGGAGGATATCAGATATGCATTATGCAGTCTCATAAATGGAGCATTTTACACTTAGAACATTTTCATTCTACTCAAAGCATGGCCTGAGGCAAAACTGCTCTACATGGATACTTCCCCTCGCCCTCTTGGGTAATTTGATCAAATAAACAAACTTAATTTGGAATATGCACCAGTGTAAGCACAATATTATTAACTTGTGGTGTTAGAAGCTGAATTCTGATTCACAGATCTTCAAGAGAGGACCACATGATCAGCGGTGTCCAGACTTGGGGCTTTCGGGGCCCCTGAGACAGACTGGTCCCAAATCCAAGCTTGAAATAAAGTATAAAAAAATATTTTATTCAAAAAAACAATTCCCCTGGTATTGAGGTACCATCCCTCTGAATAGTTCCAATAGATTGTTTATTCAATCAGACATATTCAGGGCCATGTTTCTTACAGAAACGTTAAACATGACAACAAGAAACGTAGATAAATTGTTTCTGATATTTGCGTATTTATTTCTGCATTTGTTTATTTATTTAGATATTATCGAGGCAATAATCTTTTCTTTAATTTAGTTCTGACAGCTTCGATCCTCTCCTGAGAACTTTTAAATACTTATATTTATACTCAGTATCCACACATGGGTTTTAACGTCGGCGTTACGTCTTACGTCACTGCTTACGTACTTCCTCAGCAGTCCGTTAGCTGCTAGCTGCTGACTAGCCTGCGCTGCTCCACTGCTGTGACCGGAGTCCATGAGCTGCGGTCCTCAGACACGATGAGCGGCCAGACGAGCACGATCATCGCGGGGATGTGCGGAGCCCTGTTCATCGCCTACTGTGTTTATTTCGACAGGAAGCGACGGAGCGATCCGCTCTTCAAGCAGAAGCTGCGGGAACGTAAGTGTCAGAGGTGGAGGGGAGAGCGGCGTTAGCTTAGCACAGCACCGGTTAGCATGTTAGCTTCCTGCGCCATGTGACAAACACGCCACAGCTAGACTATTTATTGAAAAACTATGCTGTCTACGTTTTATTTGTTGTAGTCGAAGCTCGGGGAGAATTCACTCGAACTCTAAATTGCCCCTGTGACATAACTGAGGCTGTAACATGCTTTAGCCATTAGCTTAGCTTTACACCATGTGTGTCGTGCAGTTCCGCAGCAAACCGTGTAAAACCACCTTTTTTCTCACAGGTAGACGGAAGCAGAATGTCTCTGGAGCAGCGTCTGGACTGTCGAAGGTAAAACGCGTCAATCATTCATTTAATCTCGTGGTCAGTTTGTGATTGTTGCCTAAACGAGCAGTTCTAACCTCGTGTGTGTGTGTTGACTTTGAAGCTTCCTGACCTGAAGGACGCAGAGGCTGTTCAGAAGTTCTTCCTGGAGGAGATCCAGGTCGGAGAGGAGCTGCTGTCACAAGGTCACACACATGAACCCAGACATTTTCATTTTGACCTCATTGATACTGATCATTGATTCTTTGCTCCTGTGTTTCACCTGATACTCATCTCTATTTGAACAGTTGTGTTACTAAACCTGTATTAAAGTGATGGTTGCTGGGATTGTTGTATGGTCTGTTGCAGTGGGATTCAAACTTTTGCAGAATTAACATGTTGTGTAAATAAATGATTCTCCTTTGTGCCAGGGTCCCCTTGCAACCCTTTAACCCTCCTGGAGGGTGCCCTGACCCCAGTTTAAAAACCAATGGCCGTTACTAGTGTGGCAATTGGTTACTTTAGTGCCGACTCTCCAAACTGAACTTTTGCATATGGTTAATGTTGCTGTTTTACTTGTGGGACTTTTCAGCTGAAATATGCTCATATTTGATCTAGCTCTGCTTAATGCTACACTATCAGAAATAACTTCTTCACCACTTTATGACTCGACTTTCCAGTGGCAGTACAACGCTACTGCTGTTTTGGTTTCTGGGAAAACAAAATTGCAGTTGTATTTGAAAACGTATATATTTCAAATCCGTGGTATCAGATTGGTACATAGATAAGTGCACTCACAGATGCCCGGCCTATATGATTCTGGTGTCAGAACATGGAACTAACCTGCAGCTCTTCATCATCTCCAGCCCCCATGTCTGTTATTTAAAGATTGTTTTCCAAACCTGTGTCTAATCCAGGTGAATTTGAGAGAGGTGTGGACCATCTGACCAATGCGATCGCAGTATGTGGTCAGCCTCAGCAACTGCTCCAGGTACTTCAGCAGACGTTGCCTCCCCCGGTCTTCCAAATGCTGCTCACCAAACTGCCCAGCATCAGCCAGGTGAGGATATGTCCTATTTTTGAAAATGTGCAGCATCCTTAATAAACCCCCCAGTTGTCATGTTGTGGTTCCTGGGACAAGAAAGGATGCCAGATCAATCTTAGAATTATCCAAAGCTGAGAGCTGTGTGTCAGTAGCTCTTGGCTATTTCACCTCTAAGACAGAAATAACATTACAAATCACATCTAGTTGTTACACTCTGACATCTGAGAGTTAAACAAAGTTACATATGTCACACAAGCTGCTTTCAGATATGAACTGAACAGGCACCTCAGTAAAATGTCTGGAAAATTCAGCCAGTGAGTGGGCGTGTTGATGATTTTTCTAAAATGCTAAAATTCCTCAGGGTTCATGTCTGAAAACTACTTCATACACTCGTTTATCTCTTCTCTTAATGTCACCCTTCATTTTTTTTGCCACCACCTCTAAAAGTGAACTTCTCTTCTGTCTTTCAGCGAATCATCAGCTCCCAGCCTTTAACAGAAGATGACGTTGAGTGAATGTATAAAAGTACTGTTATTATGCTGTAAAGGAATATCAGTGTGACTGTGGATGTGTGCGAGTTTTGTGAGTGAGCATGATTATCACACAGTTTGATCTTTGGACCCCAGATGACGATTAACGCCCCTCTGTCATAGCACTGCAAGGTTAGAGAACTATGTCACGGTTATGTTTCCTGGAAATGTTAATCACATTCCATCTTTCTGAACTTGTTCCCTCCATGTTTTATAACCTCATCTTGATTCTATTTATTTTCCTAAAACTTGTTTGAATGGGTGGTTGCTGATATGTTGCGTACAAAGTAAGAAAATAAACGATTGTTGTGCAGTTGATAGAGTGAATTCTGTTGATCTAAACTTCAGTCTGTTGATTTCCTGTTCCAACAAAATCTACTGAATAGGACTTTTACTATAAGATAGCATAGACATCATGTGACTGAAATCACATGATTTCATGGGGGGGGATGTCACAGAAAGAGGCGGGGTAAATGTCAATCAGAAGGCCTCCCCTTGGATTTAAATGACAAGGTCAATGGCATTCAGGCAAGATTAATGTTAAGGATATACATTTGTTACAAATAAGAAAATGTTTGTAGTTATCAAATTATGTTTGTGATGTATTCAAGCAACGGAATATGTGATTGAGAATGAATGTTTTTTAAGTTGTCCCACTTTATCAAACATGATTGATATTGTGGGACAGGATGCTTTGAGTAATCTGGGACAGTTAAAGTTCTCTAAATGTGGGAAATATGCCCTAAAGACTTCTGAAGTAGAACAGAAAAGATAAAGCTAGAGATGCAGCATGTGATCTGCAGTTGTCAGACAGGAGTTAATGGTAAATACAGTCTGGCCCTGGTCTGTTTAAACTTATAACTAGCACATCATCGGTAGCTCTCCAGGACAGAGATGATCCTAAAAACACAGAGGAGTCTGTCCTGTACTCTGCAGCCATTGGTCTCACCTGCAAAGACTGTTTGTTCCCTGAGGCGCCCTGATAGAATGGTGAATTAATGAATAAACAATCTGTTGCTGTTGACTGAATTTTGATTGATCTTTTTTTTTTTTATGTGACACACCTTTAATATGTTTTAATGTTATAGTTTATTTAAATTGGGGTTCTTAATTAAAAAACTGGACTTTAACAGTTCAATATGAATTGATGACATATTTTGGATAATTTACCTTTTCTTATTCGGCTTTCTATCATTTTTACATACAAATGTGTAATATTGAGCTTGGAATGCATAAAGCACGGTGATTATTTTTTAAACAGCCTAATACAAGTGTCCAAGATGATCAATTCTTGTGGAATTTTCTTTTTTGGCACAAAGAACACTAAAAGCTGTGTCACTTGTCCTGAGTGTGATATCTCCTTTCTTTCCGCTTGTGTGCTTAGAAAACATCTTAAGGATTTCAGAAAGGTATATGTTGATCTAATCATTAGATCATATTAACTTATTCTGATGTTTTATACATTAGATTCTAATGTATAAAACATTTAAGAATAAGTCAATATTGCATTAAATGTCCCAGATAACCCGACTTAACCCTTTATGTAAAATACATATCCGTACTAAACAGAACAGTTGTTTGTGGAATACTGTCTGTAGGTTTTAATGTCAGTTAAATGTTATTTTTATATGCACGTCTTTCATATCTGGACATCTTTGTGTTTAAAATCCAACAATAAAACATGAAAACACTGTGGCTCTGAGTTCCAAGTTGTTGCCAGCAGATGGCAGTAGCAATGCATAGGAAAAAGTGGAACCTTTACAGTTTAGAAATATGGAGTCTTGGCAGATGGAGACATTTTTGCTAAATGGAAAGTGTCGAATGTTTAATTCTAAGATAAAAACACTGCTCAGGACTTTTTAGAAATTGATGCCACAGGAAAAAATGCAGAAAGATGTTTAACAACGTGGAGGAAGGCAATTTGAGCAAATCTCAGACCTACTAGAACTGTGTTAATGAGTCCTTGACACGGGTTAATAAAACACAGACAGTGCCAGAACAAAGCTGACTCGCCATCCTGAGAGTGGCTGTTTCCAACCAGCTTGTAGAAACACACGTCTTTATTGTGAATGGTTTTATTGTGTTTGCTGCAGAGTGAAAGTGGAGCAGCTAGTAGGGGAAGGGAGTAGGTCTGCTTGAAAGTGTGTCTCTTGGAAGACAAATAGAGCCGTAATTATTTTTATTCCAAGTCTGCAGCTGTTTTTCTAAGGGCTCTAGCCAGAGCAGCCCGGGCCTCGAGGTTGCCAGGAAAAGAGAGCGAGGGGGGGAAAATAGTTTTTCTACATTAGGAATGAAAAATGAAAATTGAACGGCAGCCCAGAAATGTCGAGTGGAGACTAAATGGTAGACACTGTTCCATTTTCCATGAACTCATGTGCTCACTCTGCAGCCTGTGCTTCAGCACTCCTGTTCTTTTTGCCACTCGGTGGAAAGGGAGAAGCTGTCAAGAGGTCGGTCTGGCCCAGAGAGTGTGTGTGTGCGTGTGTGTGTGTGTGTGCAGAAGAAGTGGCTCATTGTTAAATCTGTCCTTTGGGGGGAGGCAGAGGAGAAAAATAACAGACTGTGTTGGAGGACAGGCTGTGGTCTGCTGCTGGCACGGGGGGTAGGAACAGGTTCAGACCCCTCCACACAGTGAACCGCCGGCCTGCTTCTCCTGTAAATAAACATGCTGCTGCCGGGTCGTGCAACCACGCTGTCCCCTGCAGACTGAGGAGAGGCTAGGGGTCACTGAAGGATACCCGATCAGCGCAGCCCGCTCTGAAGCACGCCATCATAAAATAAACCGAGTGAAACAGACTTTGACACGAGGCCTTGACCTGCTGGATTTCAGCATGACACAGCAGATCTGTAGTTTGTATCGGGGACAAAGCCTACTCTGTGTCCTCGTCCTCGGTGGAATATTGATGTGGTCAATTTTATATTCGTCCTATTTCTTTTGACTTTAGGTTGTTCTTGTAATTGCATCCCTGCTCCATTTCAGTCTGCATGAATGGATTATGAGTCAGCTCCTCATATCTGATGAAGCAGAGGGGAGGTAAAAGCAACTCTCTGCTCTCCTGCAGTAGGGGGCACTGTTGCTCCAGGCAGACTTCGGTCAAGTGAATGGAGAGAGCAGTGAGCATAACAGCTCCAGTTGACAGCAATAACAATGGCTGAGCCTGCAGCACAGAGACCATGTGCTCTGGAGGAGTGATTTTCAGTTTGTAATCCTTTTTTTGTTTTAATGTGCTCGTGATGACAGATGCAGCCTGTTCATTCATTACAGGTGAAGGAAATAACCTGTTAGTGAAGGCAACATTGAAATCCCTAAGTGAAAATGCAGAGTGGCTCTAACCAGCTCAGACCAGAGCGGCCTGGCTGCATTTGTGATTCTGATTGTTTGTAAAAATGGATTGGAGATATTATCATCAGTTGAGCCTCACGACTCGTTACGCAAACAACACAGCAGCAATTATCTGTACTTTGTTGTTCCATTTAGTGGCATTGAATGTCTGTGTGTATACCGTAAACACACACACACACACACACACACAGATTAGATATGTGAACGGTGGAGATGTCTGGTTATGTATGAGCAGCTGTGTTTGGGAGTTTAAAGGCGGCCAGAAATAACTCGGTTGTATGCGGTTGCTATGGCAGCTTCACGTAGCTCTGCAAAGCAGCAGCCTCTCTGTGTTCAAGATCCTCCGAGCATTACCTCTGAGCAGCAAAACTCGCAGGGCCGTGTGCCGCCCCGTAGTTTTACCGATCCCTGACTGTCAGGTGGTGGAGGAATACTTCCTCCCTATGCCTCAAGATGATGCTCAGATAGTCCGGCTATCTGCTGCTGATGCTGTCAGAGTCTGTGTGTTGTCACAGAGAGGCCAGAAACATGAGACGTTGTCCAAGGAGGCCTGTGCCAGCAGCTTTAATAAAGACTGCACTGCCACTTGTGTGCACAGCAGCAACACAGTGTATATTAATTACCCGGCAGCCTTCTCTGTGTCATTCACCAGTGAGGGGAGAGGAGGAGGAGGAGGAGAGGAACAATTTTTCCGAGGCACGTCCTAAAAATAAAGCAGCACTGTACGTGCTCAGAGTATTAACTTCCACACAGATGACCCATTTTTCCATCTCAAAGGGTCTGAGGATGGATGGAAAAAAAAAGAAAAGAGAGAGAAGGGGAGNGGGGGGGGGGTGAAGCGGGCGAGGAGCCAATCACGTGAATCTAAAGCAGGCTACACATCCTGGTGGATTTCTCCTCCTCTGCGGGGCAATGCCTTCACTGTCATCTGTTTTTCCATTTCCCTGCCGCTCTCCTCGTCGGTAATTGAACTTGTGCTTCTGCCCTTCCTCCATGCAGGATTCCTCCTCCTTCCCCGCCATGTGTCGCCTGGCCTGTTGCTAGGCTACACAGCCCTGTTGTTTACATTCCCTGTGTGTGTGTGTGTGTGTGTGTGTGTGTGTGTGTGTGTGTGTGTGTGTGTGTGTGTGTGTGAGTGTGAGTGTGAGAGAGCACCCAACCCTGACGGCCTCTCTCTAATGTCATCCTGCACCCCCTCACCCTCACCCACCTCGCCTCCAGCCTGCACCTATCTCCTCATCACTAGATCTGTGATTAGGGCCTGAAATTCAATAGCACCACCCCTCCCGCCTGCAGGGAAGTGAGTGCATCACATGACCTGCAAATTCCTGTTTACGTTGGGTGGTTTTTCATATTATGGTCTGTCACGAGCCCGTCTGGAGAGCAAATAGGTTAATAGCACTCGGAATGCATGGGAGAAAAAAAAAAAAAAGTATCACTCAGCTTTAGTTCTCATCCTGTCATCTGTCATCAACGTTATCTTCTGCTATGTGGGTTAGGAGTGGAGCGAGAGGAGGGATCAGGAGGGTGAAGAAAGGGTTAACCAAGCAGACTGAGTGCAGTTATTTTCCCCCCTCTCTCTCTCCCGCTCTGTGATCTGTCTTCCTGTCTCATGGCCAGTGCAGTGCAGTGGCTTTGAAAACTCATGAGAGTCAGACAGGCTTGTTTTGCATACTCTAGGTCTCCTGCATTGACTTGTAGCAAATCCCTGCCCTCGGGAGGCATGTCAGAGGGGATTAATGGGAGGGCCGGGGCCTCACAGCAGAGTTTCCCATTGACGCAGCCCCAGCCGGCCCCTGCACTGTATTTTCAGCCCGCAGAGTGGGAAAGAGAGTGAGCAGGTGGGGCGGGCGGCGGTGTTGGAAAGAAGGGTTTCAGCTTGCGTGTGCAATGTATGTGTCAGTGCAGGGGGTGGGGTGAGGGGTGTTGTACACTGGTGTTATGTCCCTCTGCCCTGATTCTTTTCAGCTGAGGGGAGGGAGGGGAGCGTGAATGTGCTGTGTCCAACTCTGTTTCCACATCGATTTGTGTTTTTCTACTTAAGCCTGAACCCAAACCCAAAACTTGAACGGCGCTCAGTGGAACAATAAGGCCCAACACTCCTTTAAGCTGCACCAGATATTTTTATTGTCATCTATTTTTCATCAAGATTCCACGGAAGTGATTAAAAGAATTCCTGAATTAGCACCAAAATTGAATGGGTTCTTCATGAGTCCATGTCCCATCCTTCCACTGAGTATCATGGAAATGAGTTCGGGTGTTTTTGTGTAAACAACCAAACGGACTGGGGTGAAAACATTACATCTATGGTGGACGTACTTAAAACCCCCGATTGGCTAATAAGCTTTGCAAGGAGCCAGCGTTTATGCTAACCTAAGCTAACCAGTTGTAGTTACACAATAAAGGAGAGCAGACATGAGACACCACACTATTACACCATCAGCTTTTTAAAGTCAATTCAAAGTTTGAGCTATACTTCCCACATAAATACATATTACGAAGCAAGATTAGCGTGAGTAGTATTTCTAATTTTCAGATTTCACCATGGTAACTGAATTCATAGCAAATGCTCTTTTTTGTATTGAGGAGGAAGTACATGTCTCTCCTGCCGAACTGGGACCACATGTTCCCTTTTCTTTCGGTTGCCATGATTTTTTTTGTCTCTTCCTTTGTTCGAGTGTCAGTT